CTAATTTTTGTATTTTTAGTAGAGATGGGGTTTCACCATGTTGGCCAGGATGGTCTGGATCTCCTGACCTCATGATCTACCTGCCTTAGCCTCCCAAAGTGCTGGGACTACAGGCATGAGATACCGCACCAGGCTGAATTTCACCTCTTAAGGGTATAAACACTATTAATAGTCTGCATATTCTTCTAAAGCTGGGAAGGTGTTAATGCCTACATCTTTATTTTTTTGTAGGAGTGTACCAGTCTCTTATTCCTGGAGATTTGAATCCTAGTTTTTTTTCAAACAATGCGATAATGAACATCCTTGTACCTGTATCTTTGTGCACTTAACAGGAATGTTTCTGAAGAATTTGTTCCTAAAAGTGGAAGTGCTAGATCAAAGTGTATATTTAAAATTTTAATAGATATTGCAAATTGCCCTCCAAGATGGTGCATGTTTTTTTTGCTCATGCTGGTCCTCCTTTCCTACCCCTAGGTAGAACTCATTAATCCTTTGTTGCCTTCTCCTTCGTCTTTTTTCCCTGCAATTCCACTTTTGACTCTTAGAGTGAAGAATTCTTGGATCTGTAAATGCATTGTCCTGTTTCCTGGAGCCTCTTCGTTCCCCTGTCAGGCTCCTTGAGGGCAGGGCCTGGTGAACACTAAATCATCTATCCTGTGCCTCACACAGTGTTGGGAACTCAGGTCTCAGTAAGGACAACCTACATTGGGGCTACCAGGCCTGCATCAGCTCTGTGACTCAGAAGCTTCCTAGAGATTCTCAAGTCTCCTTAGCTTTTGAGTGTGTGCCTGCAGAAAGGGGGTATCTACCCCTCCACCTGTACCTAGCAGGAGTTGGGGACTTTCCCACTGGGGCTTGAGCACAAAGGTGGGTTCAGGCTGCCTGCAGTTCTGTGGTTAGAGGAATGCCTCTGGAGGAAGGTGGGCCTGGGTACTGCTCTGGTGCTGCCTTTCACTAGCTGTGTAACATTGAACAAGTTTCCTGACCTGAGCAGCTTCCCTCTCTGGTTGTGAGAATTAAGTTAGGTAATGTATGTAATGTCCACAGCACTGTTTCTTGTACATGGTAGGCACTCCATAAACAGAAGCTGCTATTACGACCTTGGTCTAGACTTCTCTAAGAAAAGAGGATGCATTGGGAAGTCAACCCCACCATACTTAGATGCAACAGCAGCCAGAGCTCTCCCAACAAGAGCCCCCCAAAGCACTGATCAGCATCCTTCAGCAGAACTCAATTCTACTCCAACAATCAGCATGTTTAATGGGGCCCCCCTGTGGCACTGTCCTCTGCCCCCTCTGAGGTTCGCACACCATGGGCACGGACTCGATACAAGCATGTGAAACGGGGGTGGCCCCAGTTGCTTAGAATCTGGATCTTCACCTTGGGAAAGGCAGCTGGGGGGTCATTCTGGGGAGACAAATGGATCATGCAAGGGCTGCCCTCCTCCTGGGTAATTCATCCCTCACTGCCCCACTCCCTTGGCACCTTCACCCTGGAGACAAACACACCTGCAGGTGGAAAGTCTGAATCTCCGATTTCTCAACATCAAAGGTGAATTTCCCCAAGAAAACTTCGGTTTCATCATCAACCTGGAGGCCCTGGTGGGTGAAGAGTGAAAGGAGGAACCATGAGGGGGACAGGTGGAGGGGGGAGAAGAAAACTTTGCTGAGGATCTTCTATATATTCAATAGCTATATGCATGTTCTTATGTATTTTTTGATGGTTGTATACTGTAATTCAGAATGTGGGCTCTAAGAAACCAGGTTTTATTTTTTATTTTTTTGAGACAGAGTCTTACTCTATCGCCCAGGCTGGAGTGCAGTGGCGCGATCTCTGCTCAGTGCAAGCTCCGCCTCCTGGGAAGAAACCAGGTTTTAAATTTTAGTCCTGCCAACAGTTAGTTGTGTTACCTTGTACAAATAACGTCCCCTCTCTGAGCATTACTTTCTTCATCTTTAAAGGGAGAGATAATAACAGTACATCATAGGTTGTTATATGGGTGCAAAGCAGGTGTGGTGGCTCATGCCTGTAATCCTAGCATTTCAGAAGGCCGAGGCGGGCGGATCACTTGAGGTCAGGAGTTTAAGACCATCCTGGCCAACATGGTGAAACCCCATCTCCACTAAAAATACAAAAATTAGCCGGGCGCGGTGGCGCACGCCTGTAATTCCAGCTACTTGGGAGGATGAGGCACAAGAATCGCTTGAACCGCAGAGGCTGAGGTTGCAGTGAGCTGAGATCGCTCCACTGCACTCCAGCAGCCTGGGTGACAAGAGCGAGACTCCGCCTCAAAAAAAACAAAAAAAAAAAAACAAAATAAGAATGCATGTAAACTGCTTGGCAGGGAGTAAGTGCTGTGCAAGCAATAACTAATATCTGGATATGGTTATGACTATAAAGAGCTCCAGCAGCTCTGAGAGGCAAACAGTAGTATCTTCATTTTATAGATGAGCAAGCGAAGACTCAGATAATGGCACCAGTTCTCAAGACTGCTTGGGGCTGTCTAGGCAAAATTCCCCACCTCCTATCCTCGTCCGCACTCACAAAGACCGCGAAATCGCGGGGGGCGCTGTTGGCTCCTCCGGTGTGCTCCACGCTGGGCGGTGGATGCTGCAGAGTGATGTCGCTCAGCTGCACTCGGCCGGGCAGTTGGATCACCACCTGGCCTTGGTCGCCTTCAAAAGCCCAGCAATTCCCGGGGAACACGTGAGGCTGCAGGTGGGCGGAGGGACCATCAGAATCGTCGGACAGAGCGACTGTTGCCACTCCCCAGCCCGGGCCTCAGCTGGACCGCATCCTTTGGCCCGCCCAGAGCTCCACCTCCAGCCCGCCCAGGGTCCAGTCCCCAGCATTGCCAGGTCTCTCCTTGAGTTAAAGGCGGTCCTCGGGCTCGTCCAGAGCCCCACCCAGGCCAAGCCAGGCCCCGCCTAGCGCCACGCCCTCGACTCAGCCAGGCTCCGCCTGCAGGGCGAGGTTTTGGTGCTTTCCCCAGCGTCCCGCCCCGGGTCACATCCCGGGATGTTTCCAGACCCACCTCCAGGATAACCGTGGGCGGCCGTGCGTAGTTCCAGAAGCTGAAGCGATTCCAGAAGTAGGCAGTGTTCCTGTCTGCGTAGTCGTGGGATGTCTTCTGCAGGTCGATGGAGGCTCCTGGAAAAGGGAGAAGTACCCTCAGAGGCTCCCAGGCCTTGCCAGGAGTCGGGGCGCGGGGACAGAGTGGGGACTGTCCGAGGCTCTGTCTTCGGCTGGTCAGGTGCATGGGAATGTCTGTGTCAGGGTCTTGGCCTCTTTCCTGTCTGCGTCTCTTGTCTTCCAGTGTCTCCGGGTCTTACCCACAGAGCTCAGCGCATAGTCGGGCTTCCGCACAAAGTCCTCATTCAGCCTCTGGAACACGAGCTTGGCCACTCTCTGCAAGGAGGGAGAGCGAGGCCTGGAGGGGCGAGGCTTGCTGGCCGCTTTTACAGGTGGGCGGGACCTCTGGGAGCTGGTTGCTTTGGGGCGGACTTCGTGGGCCCTGGGAGAAATCCCGCAGGGCTCTGGGCGGAGCTTAAGTCGCAGGACCCTGGGAGCATGGATCCATCAGGGGTCTCCCAGGTGGGCCCGGGCTCACCTCACTGTTGGCTGCCCGAACAGTGGACACCTCCTTGTGGAGTTTATCCAGCTCGGCCTGGAGCTGTTGCAGCTGCTGCCCCTGGGAGCGCACGCGCTCGTGGTACTCACTGGAGGTGGGAGGTGGGCGCCGTGGGGTTGGCTCCCTGTCCCCCTGGACACCTCCCAAAGGCCCCCACGCCTTCAAGGTTCTCAAAGAAGCAACTTTGAGCCCACCAATTTCCCACCCTAGGTGCCCCCTTTCACCTTAGAGTCAGCATCTCCTTAGGTTCCTGTTGGATGAAGGGACAAAACACAGAGCCGCTCAGCTCCCGTCGTCCTTGCTCCTACCTCAGCCTGGAAACGGCCAGGGCTTCCTTTTTGAAGACTGTCCCCTTTCCTCAACTCCTCCTTGACCTCCCAGTATCAGAACCCCCAAGAGCCCCTCAAGCACAATCCCTCATAAATCTGTTTATATCCAGCCCTTCTTAAGGATTGTAGCCTCTGGCACTACCCCCACCCCAGCAGACCAACAGTCCAGGGGACCCCCACAATCTCCAGATCCACAACCTGCCAGCCCCCTACCCCAGGACAGTCTCCCCAACTCACATTCTCCAAAGGAGAGACCAGGTACAGAAGCCCCAGCCAGATTGCTGGAGAAAGAGGGGGAGGGGTCTCAGGGGAAGGAAAAGGAAGAGAATGGGTTTCCCTGGCATAAGGGGACAGTGGAAAGAGGCTTGAGGGGGTTAAGCCTGGGGAGGACAGTGGGAGTCTGAGGGGGAACTAGAGGGCTCTGCAGGGGAATGCCAGGAGCTGCAGGAGGGAGGATGTAGGAGAAAATGTGCTGGGTTTGCCTCCAAAGCACCCAGGGCAGGGGCTCCAGGGAATTCACTGCCCCTCACCTGCCAGAAAGAGGCTCAGCAGCGACACGGCCGTGAACAGGAAGCGGATGGAACAGACCTCCCTGGGGAACCGGAGGGAGGCTGAGGCCCCGACCTGCTCAGCCCTCCAGTCCCCACCCCATGGTCCTAGACCCAGCTCCTGCCAACACGACTCAATCAGATCTGAATCGGCTCAAGCGCCAGCAAGGTCCTGGCCCTGCTCCCCACCTCCTCCAAAGAGCGGCCCCTGGGGCGCCAGCGTCCCTCCCTCTGACCTGTACATGCTGACCAGCACGTCTCCTGCCAGGGATAACAACACGCTCAGCACCTGGAAGAGCAGGCCTGAGGCCAGGACAGGGGGTCAGAGAGGGGCCCACGGCAGGGACAGGCAGGGGCTCAACGGGCGTGGTGTCCGGGTTCAGAAGGGGCTCGGGAGGGGCTGGGAGTGGGCCTGGGGTTCAGGAAGAGTAGGGTGGGCTAGGAGAATTAGATGGGGGCCAGGAGGATGAGTTGAGGCTCGGAGAGGGGCTTGATACTCAAACGGGGGCCGGGGGCTCAGAGAGAACTGGAGTTCGGAGAGGCGAACCCGAGGGTCAGAGGGGATCGCAGCTGGCCTGGCCCGTACTCAGAAAGCTCTTGAACACCCGCGAGGGAGGCATCTCCTGCCTCAGATCCAGCGTCGGCAGAAGGTCGAGCGGCTCCTCAGAGACTGCTGGAGACCCAGTGGGTTCTGCGGGAAACCAAGGGCTCCATTGGGGCCTTGCGCACCACAGACCTATTTTCCCCTCGAGACCCGGCCGCAGATTGCTGAGTCCAGAAGCCAGAAAGCTGGGAAGCCTCTCAAAGGCTTTGGTCCCACCGCAGCCCTATCCCGGCTACCGCTCCGCTCTCTGAAGCCCCGCCCCTCAGGGAAGGTCCGTCAAGACTTGGTCTCCTGGGCGGGGCGCGGTGGCTCACGCCTGTAATCCCAGCACTTTGGGAGGCCGAGGCGGGCAGATCACGAGGTCAGGAGATCGAGACCATCCTGGTTAACACCGTGAAACCCCGTCTCTACTAAAAATACGAAAAAACTAGCCGGGCGAGGTGGCGGGCGTCTGCAGTCCCAGCTACTCGGAAGGCTGAGGCAGAATGGCGTGAACCCGGGAGGCGGAGCTTGCAGTGAGCAGAGATCACGCCACTGCACTCCAGCCTGGGAGACAGAGCAAGACTCCATCTCAAAAAAAAAAAAAAAAAGAGTTGGTCTGGCCGCGCGCGGTGGCTCACGCCTGTAATCCCAGCGCTTTGGGAGGCCGAGGCGGGCGGATCACCTGAGGTTGGGAGTTCGAGGCCAGCCTGACTAACACGGAGAAATACCGTCTTTACTAAAAACACAAAAATTAGCCGGGCGTGGAGGCGCATGCCTGTAATCCCAGCTACTCGGGAGGCTGAGGCGGGAGAATCGTTTGAACCCGGGGAGGCGGAGGTTGCGGTGAGCTGAGATCGTGCCATTGCACTCCAGCCTGGGCAACAAGAGGGAAACTCCGTTTCAAAAAAAAAACGGAGTTGGTCCCACCCCCAAAAGGATGACCCGTCCCCAGCCTTAGGTCTTGGTGGAGCCCGATTGTCCTGGGAGCCACTCACGCTAACACTGAGGCCGCACCTTCTCAGTGGCGCCCAACCACAAGATTTTACCCACCCCTTCCAATAACCATTGAGGACACCGAGGCTCTGCCCGTTAAGGGATCTCATTTAGCACCTCCCCTTTACCCTACAGAACCCACCTTGTAGGAGGTGGCCAGATATCATCTTAGTCCCATTCCCGCCCGGCACCACCCTTTAGGCCCCGCCCCCTCCATCGGCTCACCCGGGGTCGACCCCGCCCGCACCCGAGGC